TAGATGCCAGTAACGTTTTCAGGGCTTTTCAGGGACGAAGCAGAAGAAGGTGCTTCGTCAGGTGGGCAGTGGCCACCGGTCAGTGGGCAGTGGTCGGTGAGTGGGTGTATCCTTGTGGGCGTGGCGGCAATATAAATGTCCGCCCCAGCAGCGAAAGCAGGGCGAATGAAAAACAAACAACAACAAAGTTGGGAATCGTGTTTCAGCTTTTTTTCGACTCGTTCCGTTTCGTTTCGTTCCGTTGGAAAATAAAGCAATTTCAAGAGCTCTGGCCAGCATCGAATGAAATTAAATAAAATGAAATTCATCAATAAATGGCGTGAGTATATGGCCAGAACGGTGGCTGGCTAGGTAAGCCATAAATAGGCCATGACTCAGTGGGCCACATCATTGAATGTTTTTAGTTGCGGAAATTGTTTGTATTGCAGCGGAAATTCCTTATTTAATAGGTCTAAATGAGTGCCAGCTCCATCTCCCCAAACCGCCAAGCCTGGCCATCGAAAGTTCAATGAATAAATTCTCAATTGTTGCCTGGATGCTCCTTTTGAAGGGAATTCCTGTGAATCCTCTGTCGAGGAATCTGCACAAGTGGTGCGCGTGTGCCGGCGTGTAAAGTGCTCTCCAGGGACAGGTCCTGGCCGAAGGAAGTCCTGGCGGTGCCTGCCTCACGTAGCTTCCACCTCCCCAAAGAAATTCTCGAAGAAATGCGAGCATGTGTAATCACTGCTCATCAAGTTTACACTGGGGAAAAACACGTACATCAATCTATGTTTTTATTAAGGGAATTGATTAGGCTTTTATGCTTTATTTTTAGAACACTCCTGGGAGTCAGTGTCCTTCTACGGATGATTAAGTTTTTTGTAGATAAAGTTAGTGCTTTTCAAGATGTCTTGTCTTAAAACTAACTACATTTTCGATTCTAGATTAGTATTTAAGCAAAGAAAAACAACCTTATCAGTAACTATAAAGTTTACACTTTTTCAAGTACGTTATCGAACAAATTGATTTGGGATTTTATATGCTTTTTACGTCTCTCGACAGATGTAACATGAAGCATCTTTGTTTTTATGTGGCCCAACCTTTTCGGTGTCTGGTTTTTTAAGGACACTAACTGGGCGATCAACAGGACCCGGCCGTTATGTTTAATTGCTGCTCACCGTAAAGTTTGCTCTATAAACATTTTAACTAGGCCTATAAACAGACTAATAGACGCCATCAAGTCGTTTGCATGATTTATGCTTGCCGTTCGTTGTTGGGCCCTTCGTGACGTTAACAATCTATATACGGGACATACAGGATATATAAAAAGGTTGTAAAAAGCCCAGGACAGACATGCGGGGACATAAACTGCTGCAGTAATTTTCGCATTGTTCCAACTCCAACTCGCTCCCCAAATGGGGCTCAATCAATACCCGAAATGAGAGCAACAAGGGCCTTAGGAATGGCAATGCAATATAAATATTTGACGTGCGAGACCGCCTGCCCCCAAAATGTGGAAAACGCAGGCGATGGCGATGGCAATGGCGAAGGCGAATGCGAGTGAGTTGTTTAGAAGGCGACATAACAATTGCAGATTTGGTGAAATTGCTTTTACTTGGCGCCACATAGACACATTCACCAACCACCACCCACTTAGTCCTCCTCGAAATGCGTATGTTCTCGTCAACGTGTTGTAATCAAATGGAACTTGACGTTGGAATTGCGCAAATTGCGCTTTTATGTAGGCTGTCGATTTGTTCACTCTCCCTTCTATTCTATTACAACCTCACACACACCCACACAACCAGAGCCAGGACCTCTTTCATTTCCTTTTGGTAAGCCCTACAGTAGTCCCTTTTTTTGAGCTAAATGTGTTTAAGTACTTCCTTAAAAAGGAGTTTGTGTTTTTAAATGGATTTTAATCTTGCAATAAGAGGCTTAAAGTTTTATTTAATTTATTGGATTAAGAGTAATTTAATCAAGATAATATTTATTTAATAAATTTATTAAGCAATAGGCTTCTTACTTTTCTTTCTCAAGGCTTTTAAAAACTACTTTCGGCTAAAACTAAATGTGTTTCTGCCTGTTATACTTCAAGGATCTCTACTGTAACTGCCTCCTTCCAAACTTGAGCAACACATCTGTCAAATGGTTATTCGGTCTTTGTTCTAGGCTATCCCCTGCCTGGCAGGTCCTTTGCCTCCTTGGCCTCCTCCTCTCTGGAAAATTAGCGCCCAGCCTTTCAAATTGAAAACGTGAACCATGCGGTTCATTGGTAATTCATTTATGCGCACATTTGCCAATGCTGCTCCTGGTTCTGGTCGTCCTGGTACTCCTGGTCCTTTTGGTCCTTTTCCTGCCCTCCTCCTTTGTTTCCCACATCTCCGCATTCTGTCTGTCAGTCCGTCGTCTGTCAGAATGCTTGAAATTGTGGAATGGTTTGATATTCAAACTGAGAGAATATTTTAAGAGATTTTATTTTTTAAATAATTTATAAATAAATAAATTATCAAACAAATTTTTCGTAATTTTTTTATTTAACAAAAATTTTAGTATAGTTTCAATAACTTTTCTCGAATGTGTATCCTTTTTCTGAGTGTCTTTGGTTGGGCGCTGGTCGTAGACCTCTAAGCTCCTGGCTCCTCGCTCCTTTTTGGAGCTGCAGGTGTTTCGCATAAGAAATGGGCTGCCAGGACCGTCGATAGCAGGCCCTGGCATTAGGTGTAATTTATACTTTTCGCCAGTCGCCACCACGCACGACTTGACGTCATGATAATGTATCGAATTCATTTTCCAGTTACTTTGCTCGCCAGTGTCTGGGGTTGGGACTCAGTCTCCGGACTCCTTCTTGGCTGCGTTTTGTTTGGCAAACATCACAAAACGCTTTCGACACATTTCCCATTCATACTCAATTACCTACGTGGCCCTTCTCACCAGCACCGCACTCTCGAATCCCGACCAGGTGCACGTGGCCAATATTTTTCTGGCAAAGCCTTGCAGATTCCCAACCTTATTTTCTTTTTCACTTTTTTCCCAGCCAACTCTTGCTGGGAGTTTCCACTTTGTGTTTGAGTTTTACTGGCCAGGCCAACAACGTTCAATGACTTGGCCCGTGCCAGTGCCAGTGCCGATGCCGATGCAGGAGCCGGAAAGTTTGTTGCAAATATTTGACCAGCGGCCAGACCCCGGCCAGTCCTGGCCAGTGCAATTATTTATTTGATTTCGTTTTGCGTTAGGCAAACACTGGCCAAAAGTTTGCCCATCTTCTCCTCAAAAAGAAAGGCAAATATACGAGTACGAGTATGGGCCGTATGCAATTTCTATGCAGACGAGTGTGTTCTGGCCAACTTAAAAATATTCATATTAAAACATGAAAGCCAATTACTTTTATGAAGTGCCCCGTCCCGTAAATTCTACTTTGTATAATTTACAACGCCAAAGCATGGAACTGAAAATCGAAATTGCAATCGAGCCGAAAACGCTAACTGAATGGCCCACTGGGCCCTGGTCAAATGAAAATAAACAATATTTAGTGTTCGGCCTTTTCCGCTAAATCAATCATAATCAATATTTAAATTGGTAAAATAGAGGAGAGGTAAAAAAAAACCAAACACCAAGCGACTAGAAATAATTTATTAGCGCACAGAGAAGCCCACAAATTTCCGCATCTAGCAGGTACATGGGAATGCACTTAGAAGAATCGGGGCGTTTGATTGATGGATTGACTGATTGATTGACTGGGGGCAAGACTATGTGGCTAATTCATCCACTTTCCCAAAGACTTCAATATACACTCGCACTGTCGAAATTTTTAAATTCTTCAAACATATTGGCGTAATTCAATTGAAAATGTTGCGCCTGTCGGACGCAGAAGTCAGAGGCAAATGTCAAGCGAAAAATCGCTAAAAAATAGCCGACATTTGTTTTGAATTGGCATTCCAATGACTGGGGGAATCGTCAATGTTTATTCGGTTGCACTTTAATTATTTTTACGCCCACCTGGATGGCTGACTGGCTGGCTGGGGGCTGGGCGACTTGGTGGATGTGGCACGCCCTAAGCGGAAATTGCATAGTGTCGGTATCGGTGTCGCCCCACACCCGACACGCCTTTTTGTTTTATTTTAATTGAATTTTGAAATATGTCCACGCCCAGGACTTGTTTTTTTGTGCTTTTCCGTTTGCTCGTCTCTCGCTGTGTTTTCCTGCTTTCCTGTTTCAGTTCAGCTGCACCGAAAATGCAATTAATTCGAGCACTTTTTGAATTGTTCCAATGACCCTTCTCCTCGGCAGTTATTTGTTGCCATTGCTGCAATAAATTCTCTACGCTTCAAAAATAAATCAAATGCATTAAGGGCTGTGCTTTCCTACTCTTTTTTCCTACGTCCCCCTACATCCTTTGATAAATGTTAATTAAATCAGTTTTTTCACTGCTATATTGAATACCAGATACGGAATATATGCATTGCATTAATCTCGCACTGACACTAGTGTTCTCGCCTTTATTTTCCACACAGCTTGGACCACGTGCCGTATACTTAATTTTTTCGATTTACACAATATTGTACACTTTTGAGACCTTAGGTTTCCTAATTGATTAAGTCTTCTCTATATAAGAGACAACTTGTTGCTAAAACCTTAAACTATTTCCCTCTTTCAGAATTCTTATTGCCAGAGGTACATTTTCGTTTTTATTTATTTTCTGGCACTTTTATTGTTGAGATGAGCAAAGCATAAAGTTTTAGGTTTTTAGTTTTGGCCAGAAGAGCCTGCCAGGCATATACGCAATATTATTACATTTAATTGAATATACTGAGGCCACAACTTTGCGCCGAGTTGGCAAAACTAATTGTTAATTGAAACAAAATCCAGGGAACGGACAATTAGGGACCAGAAAGGAAAGGAATTGCCGCCAAACAAATGCCAACAATTAACTCAGACAACAATACAAGGCGGAACCCCGAGGCCCTGGTCTGCTTTGGTATGAGTTTTGGGTTTTAAGTTGGGTTGGGTTGGGTACTTACCGCTCATCACAATCACGACGAGGACGAGGACGCTGATGCTGATGCTGTGAGCCATGTGGAGTGCCATGGCTGCCCGGCTTCGGCTCGGGCTCCGGCTCCTTGCCCGGGAAATGGAAAACGATGACGGCGACAGGAACAAGAAGCGGAAATGCAGTAAGCCTGCTCCGGTCGAGGGCGTTGCAGCTCTTCTGGTTTCTGGCCCTCTGATTTCTGTTTTCTGCTTTTTTGTTTTTGTTTCTGCTTTTGCTTTTTGCTGTGGTTTCTGGTTGTGCCTCTGCTTTTGCGTTTATGCTGGCAGCAATAACCAAGTTAGCAGCATCATCATCAACATGGACGGCAGCAGCTGCAGCGGCAGCAGCAACGTCATTATCGGGCCTCCCGGCTCTCTATTAACTTGGCCAATTGCCAGGACAGTGGCCCAGTCGCTGATGCAGACAAAAGGAACTTATTCGCTTGCCGTTTGGCTTTCCCGTAGACAAAATGCGGCCTGAAAAGGAGAAAAGTGGAGAGTATTACGATCTGTTAGTGGACTGACGCGAAAGTTATTGCAACTGACAAAGCTGCCCCAAAATGGTTGCTGCCATAAAAGGATGGATGGCTGAAGCTGGCCCCGAAACTGAAAAGCACTCATCGACAGACTCCTGAGCTGGCTCTGGAGCTTCTTCCTCCATCTGCCTCCTGCCACTGGCAGGGTGCAACACAAAAATCAAAAACTACAACGGAAATGAACAAAACGATAATGGGGCATGCCGCCTGCATAATAATAGTTCGAGTGCAACGGGTGAAAAACACTGGAAAAGAAAAGCTGAAAGCAGATTTTATAAAGCTTCTAACTGAAAATATAATTTAGAATTTTAAGTTAAATTTACTCTACTTTGATATCTCTATATTAAATTTCTAGGCCCTTTGAAATCCACTCAAGCTTCATCATCCACTGTACGACTTTCAACAATTTTGAATTCATTTTTCTCCTACTTCAAATTTTTGGCCAGGCCACGTGCACAATCTCTGGCAGCAACTGGGGAATTTAATTTGCTAAATATAATTTTTCACTTTTTTTGTTTTTATTGCCTCGTCGGCCCAGGCGAAGCTGGAAAAAGTTTAAACAGTAATTAAGTTAATTGCCTGTCTGCCGGGCAGCTTAGTTTTGCTTAGTTATATTTTGGATTTCGGGAGTTGGCTGGATCCAATATACTAATATAGTCTACCATCGCACTATAATTATTTGCTCCAAAAGCTCGGCCTGTCGAGATGATCGATTCATCGACATTAATGCCAAAATAATGGAAGGCAGGCGCATTTATTACGCATACGCCATGTGCACACGCCGTAATATGCGAGCGAAAATTTCGATTTTTTCGCATTTATGTAGTAAAAATTGTTCCGCCACTCCATGCTATTATTCGTGATAGGACGAGGTCGTCAGGCATGTGGCAGGGGCAAGGGGAATTCATAATTCTAATGCATGGATATTATGTGCCATAGTCTGCACATGCAAATTACCGCTACACCGAACAGCCATATACGTACGATGCTATATCATTCCGCCCACTTTTCAGAGTTACCAGTTCCCGGTTCCGTACTTATTGTTAGGAAACGGAAAGAAGGCAGCAAAGCAAAAAAAGCCATTTTTTGCTATTATTGTTAGCTATCGGTTGGATGTACAATGTACTATACATGTATGCGTGTTCGTCCTGCCAGACACACACACACAACACACACTCTCTCCTATATGCCAGACTTCAGACTTTGGAAAGCAATTTGCCACGCACTGTCAGTGAAGTTGAACGCAGTGGAACATTTCTAATTTTCAGCTACGAAAAATTTATACAATAAAAAGCGCTGCCCAAACATTGCCAGAAAAAAAATACAGAAAAATTACCAAAAAAAAAAGAAGGAACAATTCGTTGCCAAAAAATTTACATAAATACAATTCACACACAAGCAGGCATACGTATTCCGGCAGATGCGCAATGTAAATTGTATTGTACAAAGATTTGCTTTTACTTTGCTGGTTCCGTATCGCCGGCTGCAGTGAGAGTCCTTCTCTTCTGGCCTCGGACTGAATCAGTGGGAATGCCTAGCTACCAAGCACATAAAGGTACTCCTATTTGAATAAGCCCTAAGCCCAGAATTGTATTCTGAAATTATCTTAAATAAATATCAATGGTATTTGCATAATTCATAATTAACAGCCAGTTTAACCCCATTAATATGAAATGTTTTGCCAAGTATGGTTACATTTTGATCTCTGAATTGTTAACCATCTTAACCATCGTTTCAAAGGAGCCGAGTGCTTAATCCAATGGATTAGAATTCCCCAAAAATCGTGCTTCATTTTTCTTTGGGATATCCGGAATGGTGGGCTTGTAATTACTCCCAAGCAGGCAAAGCAAGAAAATGTATATAACATTATAAAGCAATTTGCAGTAAATCACCCAAAGCGACGCGCGTGTTTATAAATCACAAACAGCCCATGAGCCAGCCCCACCAAGCTTTCTGTTTTTATTCCATTTTTATACCCTGCAGAGGGTATTATAATTTTGTCCAAAAGTGTGCAACGCAGTGAAGGAGACATCTCCGACCCTATAAAGTATATATATTCTTGATCAGGATCACCTCCTGAGTTGATATGAGCATGTCCGTCTGTCCGTCTGTCCGTCTGTCCGTCTGTCCGTCTGTCTGTCTGTCTGTTTCTACGCGAACTAGTCTCTCAGTTTTAAAGCTATCGTCTTGAAACTTTGCACACACCCTTCTTTCCTTTGCACGCAGTATATAAGTCGGAGCGACCGGGATCGGCCGACTATATCCTATAGCTGCCATATAACTGATTGATCGGAAATGGTATAACTTTGGTGTTTTTAGAGTTAGAGAGTTCAAATTTGACATGAGTGCTATTTTTGGCAAAACATTACGACATGCCAAATTTCATTAGGATCGGCCGACTATATCCTATAGCTGCCATATAACTGAACGATCGGAAATGACCCAACTTTCGTTTTTTTGAAGATAGAAAGCTGAAATTTAATACAGATTCTATTTTTGGTCAGTTGATCTAACGTACCAAATTTCATAAGGATCGGCCGACTATATCCTAGCTGCCATATAACTGAACGATCGGAAATGACCCAACTTTCGTGTTTTTGAAGATAGAAAGCTGGAACTTGGTACAGGTTAAATTTTGATCCATCCTACCAAATTTCATAAGGATCGGCCAACTATATCCGATGTTTGCGATATATATCCGGTTTTAGCTGCAAGGGTATATAAACTTCGGCTCCGCCCGAAGTTAGCTTTCCTTTCTTGTTTTTGTTGCTTTCTGTGGTGATGTCCCGCTGGTAGAAAACCAAAATCAAAATGAATAATTAATATGTCGCGCCTGCCGCAGAAACCATCTTCCAACTTCCAAAAGAGGGAAGACTAAAACGAAAGCAATTCCAGAGCTTCCATGGCGAAGAAAACAAAACAAAGTCGCGCAGCAAAAACTCTGGCTCATATGAGTCCCTGCGGCGTCTAAGCCAAAGTCGAGACAGAAACTCGAGAAAAAAAACTCGTCCAACGAGATTGACAAATTTGGCATAGCAAATGAAATGCTTGACTCGGCTACGACTCCTAAATTTTTCATTTATGACAATGTTTACGTAATTCGACAGCCAAAACAAACCCCTCGCTCCTGCCATCCTAGCACGCAAATGAGCACTCATTTGTTGTCATTTTCCGGAAAAAAAGGAGGAGTCCCATCCTGTCTGGCTGGATGGTTTTCTAGCTGGAAGAGCCAGGAGACACCGTGTGGCTGTTACGGGCTGCAGCAATGGCTTTTAAACCGTTTTAAATGGCCGGCGATTTGTTTGAATGTTGCGACATAAAACTGCAATCTATGGCCCATTCCGGAGGCAAAGGTGCTGCCTAAATAGCTTCATCGACCGGCAGCAACAAGCCGATTCTGCATGAGTCCATTTACCAAAGTGTCCTGCTGAAAGGAAGAGCCTCAGGGTCGTTAAATAATCAAAGATCTTGTGCAAATTGTGACAAACAGCTTACGGATTAAGGCTAAAAGGGGAATTGCTAAGCAACATGGGGTATTAGCAAAGCAAATAAAAAGAATGTACGGCTACAAAATGAACTATAAATGACCCTATGTACTTGGCTTTGTCTATTCTTATATGGAATTTAGTTTGCTAAAGGAAAGTAAGGGCACTCTTCGCAGTAGCCAAGGTTATCCATCTAAAAAATGGGATATAATCATGGGGCTCATTTGAGACGAATCAGAGCTTAATTTGCATGCCGTTGGAATACAACTTTCATCCATCAGATAAAATGCTACTCGAACAATTTCCCACTCGACTGGCTCGTTATCCCTCGTCAAACTTTATGATAATTATGCAAATTAAGAGTGGCTCCTAATTGAAATCAACAACAATGGTGGAGAAGGCCATGACCTTGGCATGGTAAGTCATTAGTCAAACGATTGCAATTGACAAACAGTCGTCCGAGTCGGTGACCCCCAAAAGTGCTCCGAAAAAATATGAGAAAATTATTGTTTTGTTTGTGCAATTCGAGGGTTGGGGTGGAAGGGGGCTTGGCTTTCGCAGAGCCTTGCGCTTCACGGCATATTAAGCAAAATGAATAAATTACAATTGCAAATAGGCAATTTCCTACACTTCCTTCCTTTTGACATTTCACTGTGCAGCAAAGTGGGGCGTGGTCAGGCCAAGTTCTTATCGTTCTTGTTGTTATTTTTGGTATTTGCCTGGTTTTGTGGCGGCTGTCAACTTTTCGTGGCAGTGAGTTTTTGGCAACGCTGCTCGGTTTTGGTCTAAATAACGTCTAATTTGCAATTTTGTTTAATTGTTTGTGGCTTTGGATTTTGACATGATTCCCCAACAACTTCCTCCTCATCATCCGTTCGTCCGTCCGTCCATTTTGGCCATGGCGTGCGGCCGGATCGTAACTGATTGTTTGTGTTTTGTGTTATTTGAGGTTTTTAGTTTGGGTCAACATCAATGAATACAAACACGCACCACTAAATTCACAGACCTCACAGACCCCACGAAAATAACACAAAAGCCACTCGTCCCGACCCGGCTTTTTCCGCTCCAACTCATCCAACAGGCCTCGTGTCTTGGCCAAGTTGTAATAAAAAGAGTTTCTATTGCAGCCAGCCTTTTGACCAATTAAAGTCAGCCGAATAGATAGAGCTTCAAATGTTCTGGCTATTTTTAATTTAACAAACTTTTTGAATGAAAATTTCAATAAAAAAGTAATATCAATGCCAATATTGAGCTTCTGTGATAAATTAAATATCAATTTGATTTTAATTTAGTTTCTAAAGTGGCAATTATATTAGCTAAAGCCAATGTTACATATTTGATAATATTATACAAAAAATTCAATAACTTTAAAAACATCCAATCGTGAAGTAAACTCTTCTACCAAATGTCCTTTAAATACCATACACCCTTGACTATTGGCCAGCTATAAAGGGCA